ACAATAGGTATGCTATGGAAACAGCCAAGATGTCCCACTACTGACAAATGGATTAAGAAAGTGTGGTATTTAGACACAATGGAATTTTATTCAGCCACCAAGAATGAAATTTTGTCATTTGCAAATGACAAAAATGGATGGAACTGGAGAACATCATCTTAAGTGAAGTTAGCTAGGTTCAGAAAGACAAAAGTTGCAGGTTTCATCTCAAGAAATATTGTGAAAAACAGGTCACACTAAGGGGAGGTCACATACAAGAGAGGGAGGGTGAAAGAAGGAAGTTAAGAAGGTGAATATGGCTGGGCACCTGTGGCTCATGCCTGTAATCCCAGCTACTCAGGAGGCAGAGATCAGAAGGATAGAGGTTTGAAGCCAGCCCAGGAAAATCGCTCTTGAGGCCCTATCTCGAAAAAAAACAGCACAAAATTAGGGCTGGTGGAAGGGCTCAAGGTGTAGGCCCTGAGTTCAAACTCCAGTTCAAAACAAACCATAAAAAAGGAAGGTAAATATGATTGATGTAATTTCTGTATAAGAATAAATATAGATTTTTTTCTTTATTCAAGAATGAATATAAACCCGTAAGAAGGGGACTAAGGTAGAAAGGAGAAAAATGGAGGGATGAGTGTATTTGGGTTATAATACATATATACATGGAAATGTCACAATAAAACTCCCTGTGTAGCTATCTTAAACAAACAAAAATGTCTTTGTTCAAAAAACAGAGGACAGGAAGGTAAAACAGGTCCTGTCTGTGGGTTGGCAACAGTGGGAGGGGGAGGATATAAGGAAAGGGTGTGGGAGGTGAATATGGTGGAGATATTATGTACTCATGTATGAAAATGGAAAAATGAGACCTGTTGAAACTATTCCAGGAATGGAGGGAGGAGGGATAAAAGAGAATGATGGAGGGGGTGAATTCAAATATGATATATTGTAAGGACTTCTGTAAATGTCACAATGTACCTCAGTACAACAACAATAATAATAAAAAGATTTTAAAAAGAAGAAGCTGAGAGGGATGGAAATATTTATTACATGGTTATAACCATGTAATTGTTAAAACAATTATTTTAAGCAATTGTTAAAACCTACCAAACCATACACAGCAAATCTGTGTAGTCTATGTAAATTACACCTCAATAACAAAGAAAGACCTGTCTATTCATCAATTGATCAAATGGGTGACTTCCATGGCCTGTGTGTATTATGCTCTAAGAATCAGCAGAGATCAAAGGGATAAGTGGTGATGGATAACAGAATCCAGGACTCTCCCCCTTCTCACCCAACCTCAAAAAACTGAAGGAGAGCTACAAGCAGCAGCTGGATGCCCCTAGAAGAGGGACACATGGGTGCCAAGGCAAAACAGTTGAATGAAAAGTGCCCCCAAGTCTTCTTGACTTCTTCTAAGATCCCATTGACCAGGGAAAGGCCCTACTATAGTCATGGGATTCCAGACAGACAGGAGGCAGAGAAATCACTCTTCTTATGTAAATTTCTGACGACGTGGGCAAAGGTATGGGTGCCCAAGTGTAAGACAGCACTACCAGAAGAAAAAACACCAGAAGCAGGGTGTCACCATACTGATCAAAAACTGCCTTCCAGGGCGTGCATCCCAGGAAGGCTAGACTTCTGTTCAGAACCTGCACCTGCACTGTCTCTAAAAGCCTGTTGTCCATTCCCAAACTGTCTAAGCTCTCAGCCTTGGATTTCCAATGTCACAGGCACGACCTTCCCCAGTCCACTTTTATCCAGTTACCTCCACCTGCCCCAGAACACACATGACAATGCAACTACTGCCCCTTCTGAGCCCTGCCTCCTTGCAGTCCTTCTGGGATGCACACGCACACTAGGCTACCTCTTCCACGTCCTATAAGATTCGACTGTACCCTCAGTAGCTTTTTCTGACCACATGGGCAGGTCTGCCATCTCGCTGCTAGGGTACACACATACTTGCAAGCCTCTCTATGTTCCCTGTGGTCTCTCTGAACAGCCCGTGAGCCCCGTAGCTGGCACAAAGTTCTCAGTGACTAATTATGGGTAGCAGTCATTTGCAATGTTGCTAAGAACAGTGACACTGGCAGTTCATGGCCCCTAAAACATACCCAAGCTCAGCATGTGTAACTCTGGGAGGCTCACCTGGCAGGCCAACCAAGGGAGGAAAAATCAGGGTGTCTATTCCCACCCACACCTGCCCTGGAGAAACTCTCAAGTTTTAGTCTGATTAACACTGAGTCCAAGGGTTTCCAACATACCTTGCCTCTAGGAGTTTGGTGCTTTCTATCCTGAGATCAGGGTGACCAGAAGTTGATAGCCATACCCCTGAGGACACATAGAGCTTGTAACTATGACAAGAGTGTCTAAGGACTGAGACCCCAGGGTTGCTTGTCCAGCAGTGTATCCTGCAGTGATGAGGTGCCCCTCAGTAGCAATGCAAATCAAAGAATGAAGGGTTTATGTCAGCTGGGTAAGATAAGGAGGCTGGACCCAGGAAATACTAGTTACAACCAGGTCAACAGGGTTTTGCTCATGCAAAGAGAAATATTCAGTCTCCTGATGCCTGTGTACTATTTCACAATTATTACAATTGTATACCAAGTACCTTTAAGAGGAGTGGGGGAGAACACACCTTTCTCATTAAACACTCTATGTTCATAACCCCAAACACCAAACTAACTGAAAATTTGACCCAATTAACTAGCATGTCACAAAATAAAGTTTTATCCTATCCAAATCCTTTCTGTAACAATTACATTAGGGTCGGGGAGAAGAGAGGTCCCGTGCAGTTCTGTCAAATAAAAATGACTGAAGAGTAAAACACAATTCTCCTCACGTAGGTGATGTGGATTTACTCGGATGTTGCAAAGTTTCATGATGAAGGTGATGACAGTCTATATAAAACACTGTTACAGGAATATATTCTTTGAACGTTGCAATGTAACTGTGCACCGTCTGCGGTTTGTCCCTGAACTTGGGTGAATGCCTGGCGCTTTGGCGCCCCCTAGGAGTGCCGCTGGGAACAAGCGCCCATTTCTTCTCAAACTGCAGGGCAGTTAGCAAGGCTGCTCTCTGTTAGTTAGAAGAGAACCAAGAGCAAAGACTTATTTTTATTCTTTCCAAAAAGGCGTCCCTGCAGAGCCTCCCCTGTCCAGGAACCAGATGATAGCGCTGGGCACGAGTGCTACACGGGCAGCGGTCAGGACGCCTCCATGTTGTAACATTGTACCTCAACAATCATTTTTGATACAGAATCCAGCTCTAATTTCAGAGTCAAGGTCTCTGTGGTTATTTAAGGAACAAATGTAACCCTGAGCGATTTATTTTGTTTCCTTTCATTTTCCAACGAAATCAGAGACTCCATTCTTAAGTGTCAATGTACCAGAGAAAGGAGACAGCAAGTGACCATCGTGGCACAGTGGAGTGTAAAATGAGTTGAGTCCACCAGCAGCCCTGAGCACTCAGGGTGAGAAACTGGTAAGAAAATGAGGGCGCTATGTCTTGGCGGGGCTGCTTATGGACACCAGGGGCTCTCCACATTTAGGGCTTTTTCTATGTGAAGGCTCAAGTTTTAGTACCATTACTTGCTACAGATAAAAAGGGGGAACTAAAAAAGAAAGGTTAATTGGTGGAGGGAAGGAGGAAGGGAGAAAGAGATGGATAGACGAATGCTAACTTCGCTGGAAGCAGCGTGATGGAGTGGCGAGGGAGGGGGATGCTAATTTACTATGCCTGCCACAAAACTGCATTTCTCTACTCCAAGACAACTTTCTCCCTCCAAAATGTCCAATTTCAGGAACTAGTTCCCACCACTCATCCACAAACTCTGTACAAGGGCCACCAAGTTTCTCAATTCAATCCTGGACCACTAGCGTCCTCTGTTGGCCACCTAGGGAAGGAGCTCGTTGGCAACATTGGAGAGGACCGACGCAAGGAAAAGGCGGACACAGTCCGAAAGATCTCAAGCGCGTAATTGCGCCCAGGACTTAAACCGTATTGGAGTATTCAGATTGCGCACATTAACGGGAATCCCAGGCTCCACTTGAACGCACCGGTGAGCGTTCAGTACAGGGCTACAAAAAGACCTTCAAAAAATGACTGTGAAAATTACCAATTTTAGGAACTACTCGGTTATTAATTATGCTCATCAGTGTCCACTTTTGTGTGTTTATTATTCTTTCGTCGTTGGTGTGGGCTCTATTTGAAGACGTAATTAGACACAATACCTAAAACAAGAACTCTTGAGACTTAAATTCTTTAAAAAGTTTTGCCTTAAGGACATATTCACTGCCGGCCCGTTCTGCTAAATGGGGACTTGCAGCGAAATGCCACATGTGAGTCGTGACCGCTTTGGGAAGCAAGCCTGGAAACCCGCAGAGACCACGTGCGCATCTGCAGACGCGCGTCTGTGGGTTACTGCGGGATTCGAATGGCCCAGCGGATGCAGATTAAACTCCCACCCCAAAGTAACTCGGAATTTCGGAGTTGCCCTACAATGTGCCCTACATGAGGAATTAAATTTTAGAAAGCTTTACTAATGACACACGGATGAAGAGCGGTGCCTGTCAATTTCCCCTACATTAACTCCCTGCTGGACTAACAACCTCAACCCAGGCGTGGAGAAGGAAGGGCGGCAGCGTCTGGGAGGCCAAGGGCGCCAAGTTGGCTGCAAATGACAGGATAGTCAGAGATACTAAGGTGATCGGGGACGCTACCGGGGGTGCCAAGGCAGCCTGGGACCTTCGTGGTTCAAGGGACAAAGAAGTAGCCCCAGGCGCAGGGCTCGTGCGCGAGCGCGCAAGAAGCAGGTGCCCGGGCGATGCGCGCCCCCGCGCTGGGCGCCCGCTGTTCGGGGCGAGGCGCGGCCCCCGTAGCCGTGCCTGCGCCGGCCCGCCCCCCGCACACACCCGGGCGCGCCGTTCCGGGGCGTGTCCTCGGCCACCCCGGCTTCTATATAGCGGCCGACGAGCCCAGGCTGCCCAGATGCGAGCGCGGCTGCTGGGCGCTGAGGACTTGTCGCTGTTGGCTGTCTGTCCCGATCCCGCACCCTCGCACCGCGTGCTGTCGCCCAGTGACCGCGTGCTCCTCCGGTCGGCCGGGCTGCAGGCCCTAGCGGCGGGCGCCATGCATCGGGCGCGCCCCGCGCTCTGGGCCGCCGCGCTCACCGCGCTGGCACTGTTCCGCGGGCCGCCGGTGGCGCGGGCTGGCGCGGGCGCGGTGGGCGCGGGCCCCATGGTGCGCTGCGAGCCGTGTGATGCGCGTGCGCTGGCCCAGTGCGCGCCTCCGCCCACCGCGCCCGCGTGCGCCGAGTTGGTGCGCGAGCCGGGCTGCGGCTGCTGCCTGACGTGCGCGCTGCGCGAGGGCCAGCCCTGCGGCGTCTACACCGAGCGCTGCGGCTCGGGCCTCAGTTGCCAACCGCAGCCCAACGAGGCGCGCCCACTTCAGGCGCTGCTGGATGGCCGCGGGTTTTGTGTCAACGCCAGCGCCGCCAGCCGCCTGCGCGCTTACCTGCTACCCGCACCGTCCGCTCCAGGTGAGCCGCCCGCGTCAGGTGCGCCGCCCGCATCAGGTGCGCCGCCCGCATCAGGTGCGCCATGCGCAATAGTCCCGGACAGCGCTGCTGCGGGGGACTCCACCACCTGGGAGGCGAGGTGGCTCGCCCGAGGGACCCTCCGCAGTCAGCCCTGTACTTGCTTTGTTCTCCGACTGTGGAGTCCTTACAAATTGCAAAGTGCTTTCGGTGAAAATGGGTAAAAGGTTTCATTGCGGGGGAGGGGGAGCGGGAAGACCTTGGCCCCAAGAGGTTCTCCTCGCCCAGAGCAGGAGCGCGGGTGTGGACTGTGTTCGCCCAACTCGAACTCGGCTTTCATTCCCCCACAAGCTAGGAAGGAGCGCGTCAATCCTGGTTAAGCGTGGGGGTGGCGGCCCCAGGGTGGGATATAGACCCGGGAAGGTTGGCAGGCACCAACCTTCCCGGAATGGTACCTGTCTTGAAAAATGTTAACATTTGAACAGCTTTTGTTTGTAAAGCAATGCCACTTTCCCGTGTTCCTCAGCTGAGGTGGGTTTCGGGCATTGGTGTCTTTGCGGCAAGAAAACTTGAGGTTCAAAACGTAGTGACTTCTCATCACCCTGTGGCTGCCATACTACAGGTTTGAACCCCTGTCGCCACTGTTGGTACCATTCCACTTGTACACCCCATGCTGTGCCAGTGCCTGCAGAGTCCAAACGCTAGAAGTGTGCAGACAGCGAGGAGCTGGAATCCTTCCCAGGACTTTTTTTTCCCCATCTTAAAACGAAGTAGAGGTGAGGTGCGGTGAAAGGGAGCTCCAAAAGAGAAAAATGTTTGATAGAGTTCCTCCTCCTGGCTCAGGCACTATGTTTAATAAGGACATCACATTGTTCCTTTAAAAAAAAAAAGTAGATAGGTTTGGCAGCTGTTCTTGTAAACTTCAGGCATTCTTAACCAGTCTTGCTGAGTTATGCTTCCCCACACACACCCCACCCTAGTCTCCCTCCCCCTGCCCCACCCCACCCCTTCAGGATGCTGCAGCTGAGGCTGGCAGATCCCCTTTGTCATTTCTGTAGCTGTCGAGTTCCATTCTCTGGTAAAACTATTTCCCTGCTGGGCAAAGCTGGTTTTAGTCATCCCTGAGAAAGTCTGAGAGTGGGAAAGCAAGATTCCAGTTGCTTCCCTGGCTCTGTTAAAGTCTCTGGATGCTGCACCAAATTTATGTTGCTTGTGCCCTGTGAGTGTTTCACTGTGCTAGTGCATTTAGGGTCATCACGAAAATGATCTTAGAAATATTTATAGACATTGCCATTTTAGTTGGGCTTAAATAATCATGGTTTTTCATCATATAAATCGATGTGGATTCTTATTATGAAAAGATCTCAGTGACTGCTGAACGCCATCAGAGGGGGGAAAAAAGATAGTTACATAGCAATCAAAAGTCACAATTCTCTTTTGCTTAAATAGAACCCTTTTCTCCTCTCCCCTGGTCAACAGTTTAAGGATTAAAAAGAAAACAAGGAACTATAAGAAATTACTCAGACTTCTTGGAAAAGAAATGCAAATATATTTATTTACATATTCTTAGCATCTCTTTTGTCCCAGTACTTCCTTGAAAAAGAAAAAAGAGACGCTAAGATTAAAGCAAACTGAAACCAAAATGATTAATTTCATTACGGACCTGCTCTGTCAAGTGCTGGTCTAGACCCCTGGGAATTTGTGCTCCCTGAGGCACCAAATAGCTTGGGTAACTTTGTTTGGTAAGTAAGGGAGCTGAGACCCAGAGAGGAAGGGGGCCTACCCAAGACCCCCAAGATCCTGAGGTAAGTGCTTCCAGGAGAGACAGAGTGTGCAGTCCAACTTTTGCAGCCCCTGGGAACTTTCCTGGGAGTGAGGCATTTGCAACTCCTGGCCAAGAGCCAGAATCCAGGCAGGATGCCACCACACTGGGCATGTCCCTAGCGGGCAAGAGAGAGTTCCACTGGAGCCTAGCACTTTGAATCCAAGCAGAATAGATTGAGAACCAGATAGCCGACCAAACAAAGCCTCCTAGTAGGGGGCTCTTTTCTTGGCAGTAAGGGAGTTTGATGATAGTCACCTGCAGGTTGGAGCCTAATCCTTCAAAGTTGGAAACTGAGCACTGAGCTCAGACCTGCTGGCCTGGGGAGTCTGTCCTTTGATCCTCATGGGGTCCTACAATTACTCCAAGTTCCCCCTGGAAAAGGAATGGAGAATTTAGCTACACATCTAGCCACAAATTTAATCCTATACTTAACATCCCAATTAAACTGTTAACCTTGTAGGGCTGTCTTAGCAGTTTGGATTATAAGAGAGGGGTCTGTGGGGCGAGAGGGGGGGAAGGTGGGAGCTCACCCCATTGCAAGTGATGCTTTGTGGTGCCTGCATCCTGGGGGTGCAGAGGACTTCCCCAAGAAGGTGTCTCTGCCCACTGGAAGCTCAGGATCTGTGTAGACCTTGAGTTTTAGAGATGTGATCCTGCCATATGACACTGCCCATCTGAGCTGGGCATGAGTGAGCCACTGTGCTGGTCAAACATGAGGCAAATGTCAGACCCTACAACCCATTGCTTTTTGGGTGGGGAATGTACCTTTATTTTTTTCCAAATCCCTGAGGTGGCCACTGCTCACAGGGTGGGAAGACCACAGTTGGAGTCCCTGGGAGATTTCTGCTCAGCCCTGAGAAGCTTCCATGGTGCTGTGGTGCACGTCCGCCCCCTGCTGGTAGCAGACAGGACTTGCTAATCATTTGCTGCTACTTAGCTCTGCTTAGAAAAGCACTTGGCCAGATTGGCTTTTAAATAGATGGCTTCCTGACCTGAAGCTACAGAATACAGCAAGTGGTGTTATGGGATCATGCTTTCTCAAGGTATTTTTTTTAACTTATTTGCAATTGTGAAATCACAGTGCATAGATGTGACCTGGTTTCAAGAGCAAGATTTTTTTTTTCAAAAGACTACTGTCCCATGTCAACAATGATCACAACTTTGTCTCCCTGACACTTCTCCAGGAAATACCAGTGAGTCAGAGGAGGACCGCAGCACTGGGAGTGTGGAGAATCAGGCTGTCCCCAGTACACACCGGGTGACTGACTCCAAGTTCCATCCCCTCCATACAAAGATGGACATCATCAAGAAAGGCCACGCCAAGGACAGCCAGCGCTACAAAGTCGACTATGAGTCGCAGAGCACAGACACCCAGAACTTCTCCTCTGAGTCCAAGCGGGAGACAGAATATGTGAGCACTTTTCCTTTGGTTAAGGAGGGGAGAAGGGACACCTGCCAAGATAGTCTTCATGGGACAAGTCTAGGTGGTCCTGGCTGATGGGTGGGGCACCTATCAGTGCCCACTGCCCTTACATAAAGAATATTGACCCTCTTCTATCTCAAAATCTTGGGAGACCCAAACTGAACCAGCACTTGTAAAGTATAGGGCTTGCCCTAAAGCCTTTTGCAAAAAAGAAAGATTCTCTCAAAAAGATGACTTTATTTTATTCGTTTGGCCTTCCAAGTCTTGAACCCCCTGCCAGGTTCTCTGTCTTACTCTGGGATAGCAAAAAGGCCAAGGAAATAGTTAGTATCCTTCTGTGACTGTCTGGTTCACTCAGTTAAAAGATACTGGAGAACCATATTGCAGTCCCACTTATGAGGGTTGTGTGGGCCTTGTAAGATTTTTAAAGCAATGACCATAACCCTGGGGCTCTGATGCAGGGGCCCTGCCGTCGGGAGATGGAGGACACACTGAATCACCTGAAATTCCTCAACGTCCTGAGTCCCAGGGGCGTCCACATCCCAAACTGCGACAAGAAGGGATTTTATAAAAAGAAGCAGGTGAGTGAAGTTCTGTGGGGGTCTTCCTTTCCCTGTGTCAGAGGGGAAACAGGCCTTGCAGTGACCTCCAGATTCATCTGATTGTAGCTCTAGAGCCTGGTGCTCTGATGCTGTGACTTGGTGTCACTCCTAAGACTGAGGGCTTCAAGTGATGATTGAGCCAAAATCCTCAGCCCACCTACCTCTCTGCCATCCATTTCCACTACCTGCCCACAGAGCAAAGAGAGGCTACCCAGAGGAGTCCTGTACTATAAAGGGACACATTGACACTTGTGTTGGCATTGCATCATGGAGTGACATTTTCAGTTACTACAGCAGTGACTTTCCAACATGAGGGCATAAGATCCCATACTGACTCACTTTCTTGTTGATCTCTTCTAATGGTGACAGATGTAAAGAACCAAATGAATTTCAGATGTAGTTAAGCCGTAATACATATGTCTTTATGAAATATTACATGGTGATGGTATTTTAGTTGACTTTATAATTGGAATGCTCACACCGTAGATCTTAGAAGACCATGTCCATGTTTCAGTGTTTATCACAGCCATGGTCAGAGAACCTAAGCCATCTTCTTCCATCACTGCTTCTCTGGGTTCTTATTCACACCACCATTTTTCTACCATCAGCAGATTCACACTAAGAAGGAACTGTGGCATGGGCTCTGAGAGACACAGCCTGACATCCCCAGGGCAAACAGAATAAATTCCTCCTCTCCATCTTCCCTAGAGAGGTTTGACTGTACACACATGCTCATGGATGTACATACTGCTGCCTGCATGTGGGAAGCTTTTCAGGAGTCTTGGCCAAAATCCCTGTTGCATTTCCTCAGCCCAGCAGAGCCATGCTGTTTGGGACACTGGTTACCAACTTACCTAGGGACTTACACCTCTGTCTTCTTTCTCTGCCCTCAGTGCCGCCCTTCCAAAGGCAGAAAGCGGGGCTTCTGCTGGTGTGTGGACAAGTATGGACAGCCCCTCCCAGGCTACAACACCAAAGGGAAGGATGACGTGCATTGCCTCAGCATTCAGAGCCAATAGATACCACTACCCCACGTAAGCCAAGGAACTCGGCTAGGCTCCAGTGCTCTCAGCATCCCTGGCCCCAGGATTCCTCCTTCTGGTGACAGTTGGAGTGATGAGGACCCCTCAGGCCTGGACATGGCCACCACCCTCTCCCCAAGGCTTACTGACCCAGGACCATAGTCAACTCCAAAGAGAAGATGGCATAGGGCACCAGTCCACAGACAGATGCAAGGAGAGCCAGGTCCCAACCCAACTACATAAGCTCATGGAGATAGGCTGGCACCAGTGTGGCTTCAAAGACACCCTACTTTATTCTAAATAACTTAAAACAAGGAAACGTTCATACAACTGCAGTGTGAAAGGTTTTCAAAATGAAGCCTCATCTACAGAAGTCCTGTGGTTTGTTTATCTTCATGAACTGTTCTCATCCCCAAGACAATTTCTAAATTAAAGATGTGGCTTTTTTTCAGTAAAATATGAATATTCTTTTAGTTGGTACTTAACATAATCTTGAGAAAGATTGAAATTAACTCAAAACTGAAATGCTAAACCATCGTTTTGAAGACTGCTATCATATTTAAGATGCTTTTTTCTTCTAATGAAGGATACATTTTTGGTAGGGGAGGGAGACTGTATCTCCTTTCATCTCCTCAAGACAAATTTAATAAGCAGAAGAAATTTTCCTTTTTTTTGGTGGTGCTAGGGTTCGAACTTAGGGGCTTAGGGTTTGTTAGACAGGTGCTCTATGGTGACATGACAGGCATATGCCACCATACCAAGCTTATTGTTTGAGATAGGGTCTCACTAACGTCCTACCCAGGCTAGCTTGGAACCTCCATCCTCCCAATCCTTGTCTCCCAAGTAGCTGGAATCACAGGCATGAGCACCATGCCTGGCCTGAAATTTTCATTGTTAGTTAGAAGGGGTTTTACTCCCTTGCAAATTGAAAAACATAAATAAATCTAATTTTAGGATGACTCTTTTTAACAAAGAACCCTGAGTCTTCTTTGCTTTGTTCAAACTGTCAGCTGAGACCCCAGCCCTTTGTGTGCAGGGTCACACCATTCCCTTGGGGAAGGGGAGTCATTGCCTGTGTATCCAGGAGAAGGAGGTGAGCTCTTTTGATTTGGGGGGTGGTTATTTCAATTTAGTTCTTTTTCTTTCTGTTTTAGTTCCTGTGGAGCTCCAATACGCCTTATTTTGCACAAAAGACTGCCACGGACCTGATCAGCAGCTGGCTACAGCCTTGATTTGTATTCCTTTTTGTGGTGAACTGATTTTTTTTTTTTTAAGAAAACCAAAGTTTAGACAGATTTTTGAAATGCCTATGGTTCCTTTAAATGGTAAACGTGAGCACCTCTCCGCTTTCAAGTAGTCAGCAGAAAACAGTTTGAATTTTCCTGTTGCTTCCTATAAAAACACTCACCGACTGGTGCCCAAGAACTTGGACTTCATCCCCCTCCTGGAATCCTCTCCCCCATTTTGCCAGGTGGCCAACCCCCTGCTTTCCTGACCTCAGCAGCTGTGTTGCTGATATAGAGAACACACTCCCTCTTTCCCATCCTCTGAAAAATGAGCTCAGACCTTCCTGAGAATAGGATGACACCTGGACATCCTGACGCACCCTCCTGAGGCTCACAGCCCTCCTGGTACCATCTTTGACTTTGACCATGAAGATTGTGACCTGATGTGCTTGGGAACTGTTAGACAGAATCAAGTGGAGTCTTACTTATTAAAAAAGAATTGTTCTAGAGCACTTCGGCAACCTGTGAAGTCAGGTGACTCTGACCTCCCTCTGTCAGGCAGCTTCCTGAGGACGTAGCCCAGTGGAAGGCCACCCCGGGGTGGTCTTCACTGTGGTCCCACAGGCAGGAGGGGCAGCTGGCCTCAGCCTCCATGTCCATGTTCAGAGGCATCACATAATGACATAATCCTTCAGATGACTGCATAAATGGTAATTTCTAGTTCAATCCCTCAAAAAAAAGTTTATTTTTGAGGATGAAGTCTTTAAAGGCAACAGTTTGTTTTTGTCTCTCATCTTTATCCTTGGCACAATGTTGAAAATATATGTATTATCAAAACAGGAAAGATGAATGGCTTGTTGGGGTGCCTGGCAAGGACACTGGGAACACATAGAGAATAACCTGTGTTGGTTGAACTTGGAGTCCTTCTCATACTTTCTTTATAACGCACACATATATATGCAGAGAAGATACATTCTTAATTAAATGTTAACATTGTATGCAACATAGCCCAAATATTATAGGATCTATACTAGATAATCCTAGATAAAGTGTTACAGATACTAGATGTTATAACCATGGCCATGACCAAGGAAAGGAGCCCATGTCCGGAGGCTGAGCTCCAATCCCAAAGGCCAAACCCAAGGAAGTTGGTGACATTGGGTACAAGGAGACTCTGCCCTGCCCCCACCATGGCCCTTGGGGTGGAATGCACGCTGCACAGAGCGCTCCTTGAGAGACAATCCTGCCTACCTATTAGCTTTTCTTTATTTTTTTAAGTTTTTGGGGGAAAAAAAGTATTTTTGGAAAGTTTGTCTTGCAATGTATTTATAAATAGTAAATAAAGTTTTTACCATTAAAAAAAATAATAACCTCTTCCCCCTTGTTACTGACTGTTTCCGGGGATTATTTCACTAAGGAAATAACTCTGAGAGTGTGGAATATTCTAGTCATTGTAGAAAACTTCATAAACTCATCTCTAACAAAGGAACCCCAGCAAGGTAATTCTGGTGGCCCTCCTGGCCACATCTGGAGGAGCATCCAAGTCAGAGAGCTTGTGTTGGTAGCTGACCTGTTGGAGCAGGTCAGCAGATGCATCTCAGTGACCGTTGTCCTGGCTGCTTGGGTTGCATTCCACATTATCTTCAGAGCAGCCTCCCCCAGCCATGCAGGATGAGAGAGGGACAGGTGTCTATCTCCATGCCAGCACCATGTCCCTTCCCTGCAGCACTTTGGCCAATGTCTTCTTGGAGAGGGGAAGTGGGTAAGTACAGGATGAAGAGGGAGACCGACACTGGGTAGGGTTCTGGGAACTCGGCCCTTCTCTGCAGCCTTGGTAACAGTGGCCCTTGTCACAGAGCGACTTCAGACAAAGTGCTGAGTCCCATGACCTCAGGGTCTCAGGACAAACCACATTCTCTTTAGAGCCCCATCCACCCATTGATAAGACACAGTTGCACACATTGAGCAGTGAGTTGGCTCTGGGTGTTCAAAGGTCTGGAAAGAAGGGGTAGATCACACAAGAAACCAAAAAAATGAAGGGGTCAGACCCTTGGGGTGCTGTGCTTATAAAGCTACCAGGGCAGAGGGAGACAGAAAACAGAGTGAGCTCATTGGGGCAGAGGGAGGTGCACAGTGGCCATAGGATGCCTCAGAGAAAGATCATGGGGTACCTCAGCCACAGGTTGGCACTAGGAATCCAGGACAGGAGCTTGACCAGCCCTCCAGTGCCACTGTGGAGGTGTGAGTGAGCCACAGGTGACATCCCTCTAAACCCACTGGGCTGCCTTCCTGGAGCCACAAGCTCACATGCCTTTCCTTGTCCTCACTCCATACCCATAACCTCTGCTACACTCCACCCTTCTGATGGCCAACTCTGTGTGTCAACTTGAGTGGGTCACATGGTGTCATTTCAGGTGTCTGTGAGTGCCTTGGATGACATGAGTAAGGTAGATGGATCTCCTCCATGTGGTCAGGTCTCATCCAATCTCCTAAGAGCATGCATAGAACAAAAGGCAGAGGAAGAAGGAATTAGCACCAAACCTGCCTTCTTGGAATAGCTCACCCTCTCTGGCCCTCAGATTGGGACATCTACCCTCAGACCCCGAATTCTCAGGCGTTTGGATTCAGACTGAATCTCACTAGCAGCATGGGGATCAGACTGCTCAGCCTCTATGTGCAAATCAGTTCCTCATTGTAAAGTTCCTCTGATAGATTGAGGATGGATAGATAGAGATAGATGATAGATAGATAGATGATAAATAATAGATGAATGGATAGATGATAAATAATAGATGGATAGATATAGATAATAGATAAATACATGATAGATACATGATCAATAGACTAGATAGATGATAAATAATAGATGTATAGATAGATGATAGATATAGATTAGATAGAGACATTTTAGATAGATAGACAGACAGACAGATGTAACCTATTGGTTCTGTTTCTCTGGAGAACTCTAATACAATACTTTTGATCACATCTTCCTTCTGAATGTTCTGTTACTTTCAGAAATTATGCACACCTGGTTCTCCCTAGCCTTCGGTTCTCTGCCTCCTTGTCCTGACCTCCCAGCTAGATCCTGGGAGCTCCTCTGCCCCTCTGCCTTTTCCCTCTGCCCCTCTGCCCCTCTGCCCTCTCAAACTTTAGCCTCCACCAACCCTTCAGTTGGTGAGTGCCCAGCCATCAAACACAACACAGGATGGAAGGTGTTTGACTACCTCAAGTCAAGGTAATGCATAGGCCATGTTAACAGCTGCCTAATTCAGCTATCAAATCAACACAGCTACCAAATCCCACCGCAGAAACGAACCCCAAAGGCATTCTCAGATGTGATTTGAAATAGAAACTCAACCACACAGAGGAATATTATGCCTCCACTGAAATGCTTTTGAGTAAGAGTTAATAACATGAAAAATGTTTGCAGTGGGCTAAAACAAAAGCAGAGGGCAATTGTGTTGTGTACTAACACACACACACACACACACATACAACCACAAGGAGGTACAACAAAATGTCAACCCTAGTTATGTGAATGGAGATAGTGTTCTTATTTTCTTTTTATTTCATTATAATCTCAACAATTTCTACAGTGTACATAATTAGATTTCTTTTTATCCAGAAAAGAGTGCTGCATCTTTGGTGCTCTGGACCCTCACTTGAGTCTGACCAACAAGTCTCATTTCCATCAGCCCTTCCCCCTCTCTCCCTCCCTCCCTTTCTTCCTCCCCCCCAACCTCCCTTCTTTCCTTCCTTCCTCCCTCTTTCATTCCTCCCCTTTCTTTCTTCCTCCCCTCATCCCTTCCTTCCTTCCTTCCCTCCTTCCTTCATTACTTCTTTTTCCCTTCCTTTATAATTTGGACAATGTGGCCAAGGAAGGCCTTGGGAATTTTCAAGTCAAGATCAGAAGCTAGAGAGGAGCCTGAGGGGCAGACCATCCAAGCTGGTAGTGCTCACAGGTGTAGCCATCAGGGAGATCTAGGTGCAGAGCCAGAGTGGAGGAATATAGAGCTGGGGCCAGACAGCAGGCCATGAGCTGTGGTATTTGCCTCTTTGGGAAATTGGAGCTGCAGCCTTGAATGGCACCTCTCACGTACTGGCCTTCTCTCTAAGCTGACAGTTATCCCAGGTGACCCAAAATAGCCTTGGGGCCCACAGTCAGAGCAAGGGATTGAGGAGCTCAGTGGAGCACACAGTTGGCCCTGTGAGTCCCTGACCCAAACTCCAGTTCCAGAGTGCATAGTCAGAATAAGTGTACCTAGTAGCTGGCAGGATCACCACATGGGTTCCCTGACCTGTGGCGTGGAGGCTTTTACAGCCAGACAGGCCAAGAGGAGGCCATCAGAACTGCCTCTGTCCAGGGTAATAGCAAATCAGAAGCATTTCCAGAGGGATTCCAGAAATCGTTCACCAGGCAAATGTCCTTTCAAATCCTGAGAAGCAATCCTTCCTACTAACCAGTATCCTATTTTAGAGAATATACCCAGTTACTCAGCCACAAGGACATCCAGACGGCAACCACTGCTGTAAAACAGGATACAAGATGAGACCAGGGAAAACTGGCTTCACCCAAAGGACACCATGGAGATCTGTTACTCACCTTCTTCCTGGAAAAAGGCATAAATAATCATTATCTAAAACCATCTTAGCTCCCTGTACTTTTGGAAGAAACCCCATCCTTTGTTCAGATGGGGAAAAGCTGCTCTGTGAGTTGTTTCTCTCACCTTCTCCTTATTCTGTGGCCAAGAACAAACTTCATGGCTCATTTGACTCTCCATTTTGTCATTGGTTCCACAATTCTGAAAGGGAAAAGAACATAATTTGGGTCAAAAGTCAGTGCCACCATCACAGACTGGAAAAACACTGGGGTGGTGGTCTGCACCACTGCCTTCTCTCTCCCATCCTGTACCTGTCACATCCTGGGCACAAGTGCCTGTCAGTCAACTGACAGAAGAACACAAGACAGGCTGAGTTTGCAGATGCTTCTGCGCCATATCCAGGTAGGACCCAAAAGTGGACAGTTATGGCAGCACATCCCCTCTCTGGGGCATCTCCAAAGGACAGAGGTGATCAGAAATTCTCCCAGTAGGCAGAACTCTGAGCAATGCAGCTGGCTGTGTACTTTGCTTGGAAGAAGAAATGGACAAATATGTCACAATATACCAACTCCTGAATTTGCCTTCCCCTGCTCATAATGATTCTGCAAAATCTGTACAGAATTGCTTCTGTACAGAAGCTTGCTTCTCAGCGAGGAAGTGCAGCAGAGGACCCGTGTCAATGTCTGATACAAGAGTGGATGGCCTTTTGGAGTCACAGTTACATCACCAGCTAGGTAAGGACTGGGAAAGTGTCTCCAAGAGGCCACCAATGCTCTGAATCAATATCCAATCTATGGTACTGTCTCTATCACAGCCAGGATTCAGGAGTCCAGGTACCAAGGGATGGAACTGAGGTGACATTACTCACTTTCACTCCTGCTGACCAAACAGCACAGATTTGGCCTCCTGTTCACACAACTTTGTGCTTTGTTAGTCTAGAGGGCTTAGTTCCAATGACTCTAACAGGAGACTCAACAAAAATTCCATTGGACTGAAAGTTAAGGCTGCCACACGGCCACTTGGAGGTCTTCATGATTCTGAGTCAACAGGCAAAGAAGGGAGTTCCCGTGCTGGCTGTGGAAACCAAACCAAGCAATTAAGAGGAAACTGGGGTAAGTAGAGCAAGTCTAAAACACAAGAGATCCTTGAAGGTGTCTCACTATTACCAGACCCTGTGATTGAGTTTCATAGGAAACTGGGACAACCCAATCCAGGAAGGGCTATGGATGGCCCAGGTAATAAGGGAATGAAGAACAGATCGCCCCACCAGGAAATGACCTAGGACCTGCCCAGATGCCTGCTGACAGGACAGTAGAGAAAGCTAGTTACAAATACACATATTTATAACATGGTCAGTTATAGCAGACAGACAAAACAAGTGATAAGAGTCAGCTCAGGATATAGGCAGAAGCGTGACAGCCCAGATCAAAGGCCAGCCAGAAGATAAAGAGGACAGGCGTGGCAACACATAAGTCTTTAAGAAGCAGATACAGGACAGAGAAGGGGAATGAGGGAGTTGCTTTGAAACAATGCATTTGGTGCCAAATCTTCAAGCCAAACCCACATAAGAGATTCTTTCAAGCCCACCTGTCAAGGAGACCCACACCACCATCCACCTATCAGAAAGATCTGCAAAGTCCCAACCTCTCAAGCTCTCCAAAATTAGCAGAAATCCCCTTAGCCAGCCCACCAGATGTTGCCTGGTTCCCTCTCCTCCAGCCCCTCCCATGTGCAGTCTCTACCCTTCCTTTCCTTAATAAAGTCCTGTTGCTTTGTGTCTGCTCATGGTTGAGTCTGAACTGTCATTCTTTGTTGACTCTAGGACACGAACTTGGTCCACTCCCAACACCCGCACCACAAGCACTGTGATTGTGTGAGTGCTCATTACATATTTGGCTAAGAATACTGTAGGTGTAGGAGAGAGATGTGTTGACTTTATATCTTGAGAGTTAAGTATTGCTAATTTTACATCATAAGCATTTAAGTGATGAAATACCAAAGAGAGCAAACATGACTCCAGCACTTGACCTCCTGTCTGGGTAAGAGTTTGAACATTTTTGGTGGCACACAGGATAGCTGTATTGGGTTATGGGATTATGACCATGCTCTTGTCCTTATTTGGAGATTGGGTATGATTTAAGCAAGTACATATGGGTGCCAAGCTAAAAAGGATACACTTATATGATGACTAATTTTACATGGCAGCTGGCTGGATAGGCATGCCCAGAGGCCTGGCCAAACATTATTCTGGGTGTGTCTGTGAGTGAGGGTGTCTCACATTTCCCTGTTTTGGTCCCTGAGGACTCCAGCCTAGGTCTGCCACAAGCTGCACTTGACTTGCCTCACTGAAGCCCCTCCTTGCCACCTGTGAAGCCATGGTGTGGTCTGGACTGTTGACCTTGTAGGATGGACTGCTGTACTTGAAGTGAGAATTCTGAACTAAATACATAGATCAGTCCTAGCAGAGAGGATGGCAACCACAGGGTGGGTGGGTTAGGGGAGACCCAAGATGGGGAACTGGAGCCCCCCCGCCAGGGAGGTCCAAGCCAGGCTGGCTGAAATGAGGTGAGAGAAGCAGCTGGGGCTTGCCAGAAGGGGTGAGGAGAGTCTGTGGCTTCCTGTACAGGGTCACAGGAGACAGGGTTGGAGCTGCCCCCCCAAGAGACCAGGCACCTCTGGGATGACCTGAGATGGACAAGGTGCCAGGGAGCAAGAGGCAAGGGGTAGTCGGGGGGCAGGGTGGCGTCAAGAAAACCAAGCTGGTCACAGTTTTAAAGTAGAAGAAATCAGGGCACAAAGAAGACAGTTGTGATCAGGGCTCAGTCAAGGGAAGGAATGAGGTTAGGGTAAGCAGCCTGTCAGATGGGACCCCAGGAGAGAGTGGAACTGAAAGGGAAGGAAGGCAAAGCAAATGGGAAGATAGAGGAAACCAACCCAATAAGCACCTCCCTGGACTCGCCTTTAAGAGGGAGGAAACCCTGGGCCTATCCAGGGAAGGGGATGAAGGAGCAGGAGAACTGTAGAGCCATCTTAAACAAACAAAAACGTCATTTTGTTTCACTTACAAAATCGGAGAACAGGAGGGTGGAATAGGTCCTATCTGGGATTTGATACCAGTGGGGAAAGGGCGTAGGAAGGTGCAAATACTGTGTACACATGTATGTAAATGGAACAATGAGACCTTTTGAAACTATTCCAAGAATGGGGGGAGATGGGATAAAGGAGAATGATGGAGGGAGTGAATTCAACTATGATATATTTGAAATACTGTAAGAACATTTGTGAATGCCACAATGTACCCCCATCCAGCACAACAATATAAAATAAAGTCAATCCATACAAAAAAGGGTGGGAGGGCTCAGGAGAAGCCAAGAGTCTGGGAGGAAGGAGACAAGATGTGGGGGGAGGGCGGCCAGCCTGGTCCAGTCAGAGAAGAGGCCCGACCCCATCCCGCCAGAAAATGACAGCCCCAATTCATTGGGGACTAGATGATCTGCAGACAGAAACCACCATGCATCACACCATCTATGGCAAAAGCACAATCTAGATGAAGCAGGTGAAGGTGAAAGATGAAGGGGTTTCAAACTCAAAGATGATGCTCAGTGGTAACAATACTTCCACTTGGAATGTTTATTACAGACATGTTTCCATTGTGTGTGCGTGTTTCACAATGTATCTAATGGGTATTCACACTTAGCAACATCACTGCAAATTTACATCACACACAGATCCATCCATCCCTGGGGTATACAGAGTGAATCATTCTTCAGCACAGGTTACCTGTTCTCTAAACCACTGGGCAAAAATCACTACTTTATATTTGCTCCTCCATTTTCTAGGCAGTATTGCTCCATGAAACATGAACTTTTGAAGTATTTACACATAAAATGATAAGAAGCGTTTCATGACATATAAATTAATACAGCACAAGTTACTGTGTAGAAAAAAATAAATTTACAGTGAATAAATATAAACCAGCTTTATATATCAAGAATATGAGAAGTATAAAAAGTTCCTACATATATACATATACACACATAAAAATGTGTGTGTGTTCTAGAGTATAAATATGCTATATACTTAAATATATTCTGTGAAAGAACTTATACTGCATGCAGCTCTTTTCAGTCACGTAAATTAAAATACTGGGAGCAGTTGGGATTCCCTCTGATCTTCAGAGACCCCAGGATCCTCTTCCCGCTCCAAGGGTAGACACACCAACAAAGTCCTGCCTCTCCATCCAAGGATGTCTCACACTGCAAAGACAAGACCAAGGTCAAGAACAAAAGATTAGTTGCTGGAAGGGAAGATGCAGTTCTGACCAGTCCTCCCCTGGGTGCAGCCAAGCCCTGCAGGAACCCCCTGCTAACCAAGACACAGCAAAGCCGACACCCTCCTGGCTGTCATCACAAAATGGAGACACAGAAACTGAGTTCATGTGTGGCAAGGACTTCATATGTCATATTGTGACATATGACATATGACATGTCATATGTCATGACCCTAATGACAAAGGAGCCCAGCCCCAAGGCAACACATCCTGTGTGAACCACATAAAATCACTGCCTATGGGATTCAATATGCCCCAGTAAAATCCACAGAACCTGGGCAGCCCTGAGTCCTAAAGGCTCCTCAAAATTAAGTCTGGTTATGTACAATCTCATTTGTTATTTAGCATTTAACAAAAATGTTACTGCATTTTCTTAGAGTTTGTGCCCCTTTGTGGGGACAGAAAAAGGAAGAGCCACTTGTTCTCTACTAAGTGGAGTCTATTCCTTTCCTCTGGTGACAGGTGAGACACTAAGGTCCCAAGGTTTAGGAGACCTGTGAACTCTGTTGCGTGCTGAGTGATGGAGCTGAGCTTAGCCCTGGGGCTAAAGGCTCAGTGTGAGATTCCTCCACGAACACTGAAATATCCAGCCACTCACCAAGTTATTTGAAAACCGGTTCCCACAAGGGTCGGGCTTGCTTAATAAGACTATTTATGCCAGGCACAGTGGCTTAAGCCTGTAATCCTAGCTTCTTGGAAGGCAGAGATCTGGAGCATATCTGTTGCAAAAAATTCATGAGACCTCATCTCAATCAATGATTGGGCACCGTGATGCATGCCTCTCATTCCAACTATGCAGGGAAGGACAAATATCAAGATCGTGGTCCAGGCCAGCCCCGGGCTTAAGGAAATACCCTATCTCAAAAATAAGCAATCCAAAAGGACTGGCTCAAGGTAGAGCACTTGCCTAGCAAGTGCAAGGCCCTAAGTTCAACCCCCCAGTACCAAAGAAAAAAGGCTATTTATAGAGCTTATTTGGGACCAGACATTCTCTGCCATGAAACACTGTGGCTTTGGAAAAGTGTGAAGCCCACTAGCAAAGCTACTTACCTGTTTGCTGTGATAAAATCCATTCTTGTTGCAGTTTGGCAGATAAAATTTGTAGATTTCCTCTCCTCCCTTCTGTTGGGCCTCAGCCAATCTATCCAGCACTTTGTATAGTTCTCGTTGGCAGGGCTTCTCAAAAGAATAATTTGATATTAGTATGAATACAAGAGAAAGTGACATGTCATCTTAGACAATGGTTTACTGAGAAGCTTTTGGATGAGCGAAGAGGACAGGCCACCACTTGGCCAAGGAGTCCTAGGACCATGTGTCCTCTGGGCCTCGTTTTCCCACCTGTGACTCAGGGGGTAGCCTCTGTCCTGAGCCATTGGAATCGAAGATGGGAACATCATTTTCTCCCTTACTAATCATTTCCTAAATATCTACACAGACATCCCCTGCAAGAGCCTGGCAAATGCCACAAACTCTTCCCTGATTCATGCCACCTACTGAACAATTTTGGCACCTGCCATCTGGTAGAAAGAAGAGATGGCACAGCTCTGTAAATGGGAACTTGAGCAGCAGAGATGTCTCTATTTTTGAACAACTTTCCTTGCAATCAACATAAGCCAAATCAAGCAAGGAACAAGGCGTTCATCTGGATACCTTAAGAACTAACTTCCCATGCATCGTCATTTACAAGCAAACTTCTAAAATATCAAAACCTGGTTCCTTCCTTCACCTTTCTGGGTATTCACATGTATGGAAGTGGTCTTCTTTCCTCTCTCCCACCCCATTTTTTTCTTCCCCTTTCATAGATAGGTAGGTAGAAGGTAGATCTGTATACATTTGGTGGCACTGGGATTTGAACTCAGGATCATCACACTTGCTAGGCAAGTGCTCTTAATACTTGAGCCACTCCACCAGCTCTTTTGGTTTTTAACTTCCCCTCTTATTAACTTCAATCACTCCAACTTTGGTTCTCTGCTGCCCACAAGTGGTAGGCAGAATTAAGACCAGACATTAATTAAGATGTGACAGGGTTGGAGATATAGCTCAGTATAAAGCACTTTTACTTAGAAGGCATGAGGGCTTGTTTCAATATTATTATTATTATTAAAATTAAAAGGATGTGATAAGAGAGCAATATTTAATGAGGTCAGGCTTTCAGTTTCAGGGGACAAAAAGATTCTCAATGATGATGATGGCTGAACATACCTAATGATACCAACACCTATACTTAAAATGGTTATGATGGTAAAGTCTAAAAAAGTCTTTATTTGTCCCCTTTAGAAACATCTACCATCCTTTTCTAAAGGGGACAAATAAAGACACAATGGGGGTAGGGTGTTCAGGTCCTTGTGCTCAGCTTCAGAAGAGTGTAAGTCAGTGCTCTTTAGATAGTGTCAAGTCTGACACTCCCATTTAGAGATGAGCTCAGAGACATAAAGTCCCCTGTCTAAAGGAACACAGTAGCATTTACGGCCACCTGAAGAGCCTTACCTTGAGCTTGGCATCATCCTGGGTCCTCATACTTTTGTAAATACTAATGGCATTCCAGAGGATGGGCTGGTCCTCCCTGGAGGAGGCCATCAAGTGAAATGTCTCCAGCAGCTCCTCCTCAGTCATCTCTGTGCTCTCTGGGGACTTGTTCTCAGAGGTCAGAGGGGCTTTAACCTCTAAAAAGGAAGTATAACAGATCCATGAGCCTTCCAGAAACATCTAGTCCCTACCTCACTGGGTGGGTCACTTCCTTTCTTCAGAACCAGGCTGGGGACACAAGTATGATCAGGTTAACTCAGATTTTTTTTTTTTTTTTTTTTTTTTGCTGATGGTTTCTGGAAAGAGCAATATTAATTCTATTCTGGGAAAATTTTCAATTTCAGGGTATGGCAAGGGTGCTTGCTCTGTGATTTTACTTCTGAAGTGACAGAGGAAGGAGCATCATACACATTTGCTGAGACCAGGAACAACCCTGAGAAGCCAAGGATTAAGCCTGTTGTTAGTGGGGAGCCTTGAGATCTCAGCTTCCCATCCATAAACTGGGAACTTTAGTGATACCCCAGGAACAGGTGGTGGCATTCTGTTAGAAGTGGTGTCAGGACTGCAGCTCCCCTGATCCCGACTATCTGGGTGCCTTGCCTTTCCACAGACCAAGTGACTTCTCCGCAACCCCCCCAAAAGAGGGGAGCATCCCTAGACATGTTGCAGATAAGAGCCCAAGGGCACATGCAGGGAATCAGAGAACCCACCCCTTGGTGGGAGAATCCGCCTCTCTGAGGACCGTGAGATGGCTGCATGCCATCTACTCTAAAGCACAGAGAAACCCACATGCCCTCCTCGGAAGAGTCACACGCTCCTCTACAGATCCCTATCAGGGTATGGAACCACCAGTTGCCTCCCAGATCCACACAGGATGTGCAACCAGCCCAGATGGGGCGATAGGGGGCTGGAGTAGAGGAAGAGGCATTTCCTAAACTTCCTACTATAAACAAATCACCACTTAAATTCAGGAAAGAACCTGATTGTCAAATTCCTAGCGAGCAACATACACATCAAACATTGTTTGTCTATGGCAATGAATGGAAGTGAACTTTTTAGCCTAAATTTTTCACAATATGTTCCGTAAACATGTGGGCAGCACATACTGTATTCACAGGATACATACTACAAAGGACATTCCAAACACCTCCTTGTGGGGACCAGCAGGAGGGATTCCCATCCTAGCCTTTCCAGACCAACTCTCCAGTAATGGTGACTGCCGAGGCAGGGCTCCCACCTGTGGGTCAGGCACTCCACAGCCCTGGCTACCCCATGATCTCCCTCCCCACTCTCACATCTGGGTCTCTAGGGATCACAAGACCAGAGTACCAGGGTCCCCAACACTCTACTAAGCTGCGTGCCCTTGAACATCTCCCTTCTGGGGCACCACTGGGTGACTTAAGTCCCTTTCCCCAACTCAGGCTCTTGCTCCAAGAGTTGGACCTAGGGCGTTTTGTCCCATTCGCTGTAGGCTTTGGACAAGTCCTCAAGTCGCTGATGTGTCCCTGGGGAGATGACTAGTGTGGAGGTGGAGCAGAGGGGCTGCAGTACCTTCGCTCTCTGTGATGGACATGGCCTCGGCGGCGGGAGCTGCAGGCTCAGGCACGCAAGCGCCCTGGCCGCGGGTGAGCGCATGCAGTGGCCGAGGCTCGCCGGGCAGCGCGCGGCAGCTGAGTCCTTGGGCGCAGCGCGCAGTGGCCACACCGCAGGCGGCGCCCAGCGGAAGGGCGCACATCGGGCAGCAGCCGCAACCAGCGGGTTTGGAGAGCTCCCGGCATGAAGCGGGCACCAGCGGGCAAAGCGCCAGCTTCTCCGCGGAGCAGGGCGCACAGCGCCAAGGCTGGGAAGAGCTGGAGGCCACGCCAACCTGGACAGCCAGCAGGAGCAGAACTGGCCAGGTGCCGGCAGTTGGGACCACGGGCATCGCTAAGCGAGGGCGGCAGGCAGTGGACGATGCTCTCTGGGCAGGTGGCGGTGGAGCTTGGTGATCGATCACTGGACTTGGTGTCACTGCTAGCACGGTGTCCGATGCTCGCTGGGCTGGTGGCGGTGGGCAGTGGGCAGTGCTGGCTGGGGGCAGACTGCGCCTTATGAAGGGCTCAGCTTGCACCACCTGGCCTGGGAAATTAATGATTGTTAGCTCGGCGTGCTCAGATCCTAGTGTTCAAAATAAGTTTGTTTTGCTCGTGAGCTCTGCGCAAACCGTGGGTGGAAGGAGGATCCCGTTTCAAGACTCTGTTTGTCCGGTTGTTATGGGTTCAGGCCTGGAGCTAAAGTCCAGTTCTAATAACAAACACTTGCAGCCAGGTGGGGGGATAGCACTTGTTTTTAAGTGAAAATAGGAACTTTCAAAATGCGCTATTGTTGGAATACAGTAAGAGTAACTGTGATTCTAAATTTACTGGATGTGGAGAAGAACGCAAATAACACTGGTAGAATAATTCCTATGTGGCCCGTGGGGAATTTTGCCCTGGGCACAAACTGGGTTTTCCTGTACTCTTTGTTAACCTTCAGGATTGGTACTAGGTACTTTATCTATTATGTTATCTATCTAAAAGCCAACAGTGGGCACCAGTGACTATGCCTGTGATCCTAGCTGCTCGGGAGGTGGAGATCAGGAGGACCCCGGTTGGAAGCCGGCCTGGCAAATAGTTCATGAGATCCTATCTTGAAAATCCCGTCACAAAAAGGGCCTCGTGGAGTGGCTTAAGCGGTAAGAGCTCCTGTCTAGCAAGGGGGGAAGAGATTGGAAGTTTGGTGCATATATTCATATGAAAACAGTGTCATGAAGCCCACTAAACACTGATAAAGGGGGAGGAGAGAGAGGAATGGAAATATAATGGAGAGGGTGAACTTGTGCAAGGTATACTATATATATTATGGAATTATCACAATGAAACCCTCTTGCATTATTATTTAAAAAAAAAGTAACCAATACAAGGGACAAACTTGTTCAAAGTACATAGTAGTCACCTACAGAAATATCACAATAAATTCTCCTTGTGTTACCAATGTATGCTAATTTTTTAAAATTATCTTTAAAAGGAGGGGGTAAACAAGGAATAGAGGGAGTGAATTTGATCAACATACATTATGTAAATTTATGAAATTAACACAATGAAACCCTTAATGCACAATTAATATATGCTAGTAAAAATAAAAAGAGTAACCCACTGGGGTTAAGGCATGACTCAGGGGTAGAACACTCTACACCAAGGCCCTGGGTTGGATTACAGCAACTTGCGAGCACACACACACACACACACACACACACATGCACACACACACACGTATGTAAAGCCAGTAACCAAACTGAAATAAACTACTGCCTCATTTCCTAGCTGCTTCCCTAGTCCCCCATCCTCAGGAAAGTGACTCAACTTTACAGAGCTGGCTTTTGTTCTACCTGGAAAGTCTCAATGAGTAGCAATGACTCCTGCATAAAGACAGTTGCAAGTTCACTGTGGTGTTTGTCATTATTTTTTTTAGAGCCAAGTTCAGAATTCACTTAAGGAACTGATGAAATGATTTTATTTTCTAAATCTATTTTTTACTTTAAATGAATATTTATGAACTTTAAAAAAAATTTTAATTAACAGCTTTGATAGAAGTCCCTGAATGATTTTACTTCCAGAAGAATTTGTGCTCTGAATGTCCTCCTTGACCTTCTCAACTTCCAATCACTGTCCACACTTGAAATGTTTTCTTAATGAAACACAGGAAAGGGAAAATCCTTTGACAAATATTAGGGGCCCACCTACTGTGTGCCATGCAGTACTGGGGCTAGACGGTTTACACTGTTGTGCACTTGCTCAGTGCCCACTCCTCCCTCTCTCCCTCCTTGAGGTCCCCTGGTCCTGCACGTAGAGGAAGTTCCTCCTTTTTCAAAGATCTGTTTTCTAAATATTTCCATTGCTTACCTCATAGCTAGTGTAAACTAAACAGACACCATCCAGGGAGCCAAAGCTCCACTTTTACTCCCAATCTTCTGTCAACAGGAATGGAGCGATGCCCCTCCCTCCAGCCCCATGTGGCCCCTCAGTCCACTGCCTGACCTGTGTGGAGTGAACAGCCCTCCTCTAGCAGTCACAGCTGTGACTCAGTCACCACAGATGCATAACCCTAATCAGGGACTTTAGGACATTTTCCAATGTCCCACCCCCATGAATTAACAACCACCCAACTTTACTTCCATGCCCTACAGCTCTGGTCCTGCTGCTGTCAGTCCTGGACTCCCATTGTCCTGTTATCCTCATCTCTTGAGCTCATGGTCTCAGTCATCCATCCCAGAAGGCTTCTTCCAGGATTCTATCCCGATGTCCCCTCTCCCTTCTGTGGCAAAATGTGCCAGAATGAATTGCTCTTCCTTACAGCTTTCTAGGTCATGGTCATGCATTTTCCGAACTTCTGACTGCTTTCTCATCCTCTTGCAACAGTGGTCATGGCAGATAGCGGGGAGCCTCCTTTCATGGGGCAGGGATGGAGCTGGGTGTGGGAGATGGGTAATGGGGATGCCAAACAAAGCTGTGATCAGGCACTCTCACAGTCCAGTGGTAAATGGGTGAGTGTTCTATCCAGGGCTCTTTGTAAGGTCACCCTATGCTGCCTGTAGCAGGAGGGCCAACACATCTGGACACCTGTCAGAGAAGGTGCTGCTATGACTGGTCTGGGGAGGAGTCCTCCAAACAGCAAAGGATGGGGTACCACTTGTGAGAACAGGGACAGAAGAAGGTGAGAGCAGAGACCCCCAACAAAAGGGTGGTGTGTTCTGGGAACAGCCAGCAGTTCTGCCTGCCTGGAAGCTCGACTACACAGGGCATAAGCACAGAAGGATGGGAGTGCCTTAGGAAGAGGCCCTGAGAGGTCCCTGTTTCACTCTTCTTTCTTTCTTTCTTTCTTTTTGCAGTACTAGGGCTTGAACTCAGGGCCTACACCTTGAGCCACTCCACCAGCCCTTTCTTTTGTGAAGGGTTTTTTTGAGATAGGGTCTTGCAAACTATTTGCCTGGGCTGACTTCAAACCCTGATCCTGCTGATCTCTGCCTCCTGAGTAGCTAGGATTACAGGCATGAACCACTGGCACCCAGCTTCCCCCCATTCTTTCTGAGCACTGGCCAGATTCCCAGACATGGAGACAGGGTCCCATCCTCAAAGATCTAAGAGGGGTGGCCAATAGACGCTGAGGTACTGCAGCTTAAGGAGGGAGACGGCTGTGGGAAGGGGGAAGAGATGAGCAGATGCTTCTTAGCTACAGCATGGTGGAAGGCAGATAAAGAAAGCCAGAGGCTCAGACGAGGACCAGGTGTGAGGCAGGATTGATCAGGGAAAATTAGGTGTGGGAAATAGCAGCCAGGATTTCAGAGATAAATAAGCATCATATTAATAAAAGCACAGAGGTACTGCTTTCTTCACTTTAATCTTCACGGTCCCTCTCTAAGCTGTAACATGTAGTTGACTTTTTCAAGGCAAATTTCTCCCTCTGACTTTGTCCATTGCCCAATAATTAGCACACTGGTAATGGAGGAAGGGTATCTTATTTTTTTCTTTTTTTTATTATTGTTGTACTGTGAGCACATTGTGACATTTACCAAGGATCTTAAAATATATCATAGCTGAACTCACCCCTCCATCATTCTCCTTTATTCTCCCTTCCCTCCATTCCTGGAATAGTTTCAACAGCTCTCATTTTTCCATTTTCATACATGAGTTCATAATATTCCACCATATTCATCCTCCTACACTCTTTCCTTTTATCCTCCTTCCTCCCAATGGTACCAACCCTGAGACAGGACCTGTTTTGCCTTCCTGTCCTCTGTTTTTTTTTTTTTTAAAAAAAAAACATTTTGTTTAAGCTAGCTATACAGGGAGTTTCCTTGTGACATTTCCATGGATATATCCATTATAACCCAAATTGGTTCATCCCTTCTATTTTTCTCCTTTCTGCCTTAGTCCCCTTCTTATGGTAGTTTCAACAGCTTTAAAAATTCTATATTCATTCTTGTACAGGAAGTACTTCAACCATATTCACCTTCTTAACTTCCTTCTTTTACCCTCCTTCTCTCATATGTGACCTCCCCTTAGCATGACCTGTTTTCCGTACTATTACTATATTGGGTCTATATTCCACATATGAGAGAAAACATATAGCCTTTGTCTGAGAATATCTTTTAAAAGACACTTATCCTGGAGAAAAGACATTTGTAAAATGACTCCTTGGGTAAGAAGTGTTTGCAAAGACAAATATTTATCTCAAGGATGGACAGACACCTGTCTTGAAAAGAATGTCGGGTAAACCCCACCTTTGTTTCAAGGGATTCTCAGACATCTACATCAGGTGTCCCAAATTTAGTAAACTAACCAGACATGATTGATATCTCTGAGCCCAACTGATAATGAGCAAAGCACATCAGATGCCCCCCAAAAGGGAAACACTTGCCTAAGGCAAATTGATTTGAAACACCCAGCCCACTTTTTTTTTTTTACTATAAATACCCCTGATGTAGAAACACTGATTGCACCTGTTATCAGATGTGACCACACCCACGTCTGGGCTGCGTACTGTTTCTATCTTTTCTTTGCTTTGCTTTACTAATAAACTTTCTGGTCTCTACCTGGATGTGTCCTAAAATCTTTTTTTGTGACAATATCACCAACTTGGTACCCAAGGACCAGGCCTCCCTTTTGGAGACCTCCCTGGACCCAGGGATTCCTTGGACTTGCCTGCATGACCTGTGGGCTTCTGTGTGGTCTTTGGGAAGCTATCAGTGTCTCTAAGGTGCCTTTGACCTTGCAGAGGTTGAAGGTTATTCTGAGGATCATATATCTTTATTGTCACAGTCCTGTCTCCCTTCAACACCTTCTGCCCTAAATGTTCTCTCTACCTCACAGCCTTCCCCAGACCCCAGGTAGAGTTACATGAGTTACA